GCCCGACAAAACGCCGGGATCGCTCTCTGCATCGGCGACAAGAAACGTGTTCAAAACACCACTCCCATCGGCATCTGAATCAGTGCCCCTTCAGGAAAAGCCATGGAAAACTCTGTTCATTTCCACGAACAGCTTGGCTTGGAGCCGGAAATGTCAAATGCAACACCTCCCATCCCCAACTCCCGACGCTTATATCAGCAAAATGGATCCAAAGGTATGATTCGGTATGATTATATAGCTTGGAGTTGGCATTTGGGGGGGACTGTCCGAGGATAGCAATGAGGATTTGTGCCCGTCCTCTCTCCACGTGACGCGACGGGCGCCTCCAGCTCCTCCTGGTCCTTCAGCTCGACCAAATCTTCGTCGTCGCAGATCTGGGTCGTCCGCGACCGGACGTGGGGTCATCGGTGGTGTCATCGGTGGTGTCTGACCGTTCTTACAAGAACATCGACCTGATTCACTTCACTTGCACCCAATGAGCCCGAATGGCCATTGACGACATCCATTTCGGCCCAATGATTTGGGTCACGAGTGCGATCTTTCGGTGGAAGATAAGCTAATCCAAGCCACCATGAATGCAGCACATGGACACACTCATGATCAAAAAAAAACGGACCGACCAAAAACGCTGAAGGGACATGGACACCCACACAATGCAATCACTTCCAGGACCTTCCAAGAGGTGTCTATCAGCCGTGAAAAAAGCTGTCTGGGGGTGTCCCAAAATCACCTCGCTGGTGTCGGTGTTTGGTTTGTGTTGTTTTCTCTTGTTTCGATTCCTCGAGTCGTCCAAAGCACATGAAAAGCCCACTTTGGCCGCCGAACGACCGGTCGCCACCGGTCACGACCGGTTCCGCTCTGTAACGACCGTCCGGACGACTGCTGCTGTTTACGACCGCTTGAGCTTGACCAAAACCTGTAGGTCAAACACCTCATTTTACTGCGAGGTGGTCAGGATCAGGATCAGGTTGAAGTCATTTCATCTGGAGTTGGTCAAAAACCTCATAGAAAAATCACTACTCAATGAGGATGTCAGGATCAGATTTTACTGCCTTGCTGCCTGTTGGTCGCGTCCATGTCGTGGAGCGCCTTGCCTGCAGCTGATCTCGTAGGCGAATCAAGGAGACCAAAGGTCTTGGGCCCATCTGGCGCGAGGAGACAAAACCAACGACTCCACTTCTCCTGCACGTTTGAGGCTAAAATTGTAATCTGATGCTAAAATGAGCTAAAACAAGATGTGGCCTCTTCAGGCCACTTCATGGCCACAAAATCACATCAACCCACCCTTGACCTTTGGCTGTTGGTTGTAACTTCGCCCGCCCGTCTGCCACGCCGCCATTTGCTCACGCAGTCCAGTCGTCTCTGCCGCAGCACGGCGCGTGCCACGGATCTGCACGGCACAGGCGTCGCCCGCGGGAGGTGGTGGCCTCCCATCCCTTAGAAACCACCGTCAGCTACAAATCTAGGACCCGGCTTGCAGGGCCTGGCCACGGGGCACATGCCAAACGAAAACAGCAGTCCCTATACCTACTGAGCGTGATTCTTATCAACATGTTGTGCAAATGAATGTACTCTGAGATGTTTTGAAGATGGCTCCTTTGGACATTCATCATGCCAAAAAAAGAACAGGCCCCAGCAGCCCAGCTGGATCCTTAGACTGCGGATGAATCGAAAAGAACATCGACTGCCAAGCTGTGCTCGATTGTCCGAGTCGACCCTTCTGACGGACGAGATTCGAGTCCGTCGACATCACTTCTGTGTACAATTGGCGCAGTGCCGGCATTTTTTGGCCGGCGAAAACGGCTGCCATGGTCCCACGAGGTCACAAACACCGCAACAAATGAGGTGGTGGGAATCGTGTGATGTCGCATGGCGAAAACGAAACAAAGCAAGACAACGGCTACTTGCGGTCGGTGATGTGGACTGGTTTATCACCTAATCATTGTTCTGGAATATAAGGCGCCAAGCCAAAACATTTCCCCTCGAAATCCACCCAATTCAACCTTTATTCAAGGCGCTCAAATGCTGTGGCTACCATCTTACGTGTGGCAATCAGATGCGTTTTAAAGTAAATAGATGGCAAACCAGTAGATCCTTTTGGAGAAGGACCCATCTACTCATCTACTCGCAAATTGCATTGCAGGGTGCAGCGTGTGATCCTTTGTCTAGCATATTGAAAGCAGGAAGTGCCTCCCAATCTACCTTATTTGTTGAAACCAGCTTTGCCTGATGAAAACCCCGAGCTTCGCACAGGACAAGAGGCCACAAGGGGTCTTTGGTGCTGAATCTTTCGTACACCGAACCTGGCACACTGCAGTCGAACGAACACAGAGTCAACCGGGTAAACTGATAGGGATACCTCATGTACTGTAAATACTTACGGAAATGGGCATGCGGCATGCCCCTTAGCACTGGGCGATGCAAAGTGGTACTTATGTGTTTCTTCTCTCCCCTGAGAACCTCGTTCGACTGTTCCCAAGGTGTTTCGACAGCTGTCGCAGTCTCACTCGACAAACACTGCACATGCAGTATGTCTTTCATACGAAATCTGAACCTACCTGGACCATCCTGTGGTGCCCAATGGAATACCCTATACAGACTGGATTTCTATTGGACACCCCGACAGGATGGTCCAGGTATGCAAAACAAAATATTTCAAAGCAAATATTTTGACATATGCAGTCATGAGTGGTCATGAGTGACGTTGAATGCAACGATCGCCCATGGTGGGGTTTGCTCATATCTTTTCCAATCCACAAATCGCTCGCTACCAGCGGCATTTCCTGTGCGGCGTGGAACCTGGAGTCACCACGCCCCTTTTCAAACGGAGCGTGGTCGGGCTGGGGCGTCAGGGGCCAGTCCTTTACTCGTCAGCGATGACGTGCGAGACTCGGCAACTGCAAAAGAATTGGCACTTGGAATGACTTGACGTCATCCTTGAAACAGGCTTTGGACCTGCAGTTCCAGTTTCCAGAACCCTTGGTGATCCGGAAACTCTCCTCGTGTTTCACGCCAAACGATGCAAAACGCACACGTTCCATGAAGGGCCCAGCTCAGAATCGGCTCGAGAGGTCTACGTCGTCGGAATCGGCCCAGTCGTCGAGCGGTCCTGGGGTTGGTGATGGTTTCACCCCCCCTTTCGATCTTTGGCCACTTGTTAAAGAGAAGATCTCTGTACCCTGGGAGTCAGAGACTATAAAAAGAATATAGTCTTTGGGTGACCTCAAAAGGAGCTTCCTTTACGTCAGTTGGTCAAAGTCTTTGGACTTCTAGGGTATAGGCTAGCGAAAAAACTGAAGGGGTTTGACCCTAAAACTGGAAGGGTCACCGAGCCTGGAGTCGAAGTCAGTTTCAGTCGAATCAGGAAGCAACCACGTTTCAGGAAGCAATCATTGGTGGTAAGGCACCACGGTCCTGATCCAGTAGACGTTGCTTCAAGACTGGAGTCCCCGAGTCTCACTTAAGAAGTGTCTGTACCATTGCGGGCTTGATGGAAAGCCTCGCCCGAATCCCTCTCCTGCGGCCAAGAAATGTCCAACAAAAGACGAAGAGCACAGAAGCAGCAACCATTTTGCGGTAGCCTATAATGTTGTTTTCAGCAGTTTCAGCATCATTACCGCACGATGTCGAGCAGTGTTCGAACTGTTCGTTGCAATCGGAAGCGATTGACCGCTTTCCATCTCAACCCGGTTCTCCACTGAGACGATGTCGGCGATGGGGCGGGCGAAGGCCGGTGGCCGCTCCTCTCGTGGGTCTGGAGGTTCTTAGGTGGACGCCTTTTTCGTCGTTCGATACGGCAAGTCAAGCAGCTCAAGAGTCTTGGGGTCCCTTTTTTTCAGAAATGGCCATCGTGTGGCCCAAAATGACCCAGTTCACCCCAGGTCATAACATACACTCTGGAAAACTAACATGGACCCTGAAAACCACTGGTTGGTAGAGGAAAACACTCTTCCAGAGGGCCACTGTCAGGGTCTATGTTAGTTTTCGGGAGTATAACTCAAAACGTTTTGGGCACAGATTCGGAACTCCAGAGTTCTCTCTTCTCAGCACGCTCGGAGTGAAGTGAACTTCGCGCGGTTTCGGTTTCGGCGGAACGGAACGGAGTGAACCTCCGTTCCGAACGGTCTGAGAACGGCTCAAACACGGGCTGGGACGTGTGGTTTCCTACAGACGAATGCGGGTCAATTGGCTGCAGTTGTAGCTGTTTTCTGGTGTCCCTGCCTGTCTATGGGAACAGAAGAACAGCAGCTCGCTCTTCAAATCAAGGGGAAAGGCCCAAAGGCCTATAAGACACCACTCTGCCACAAAGTGTGCAATGGACGTACTCCGCATCATAAATAACATTAAATAACCAATAGTCACAATGTCACCACGTTGGGAAAAAAGATGTGGTCATTTCTTGGTGTCCCTTTTTGAAATGAATCACACTCTTCCTCAGACATGTATCAAAAGGAGAAAAAGCATGAAACAACCTGAGTGAGTGATTGGTGAGGGGGTCACTTGGGAGGCACCTCCACTCTGCCCGCCCGCATGAATTACTGTACACGGTTTTGATGACCCGCATTGGTCCGGCACTGCCGAGTATGCAGGATTGTCAGTGTGGCGAGGGGGATCCCACGTTTGCCCAGCTACATCCGCTTTTTCATTGCGAAACCTGCAATCAGCTCTTGCTTTTTTCATTGCGAAATCAGAGAAGTTCACAGCTTGTCGGCGTTGTTACGGGGTGGCCTTTCCCATCATCAACCGAGCTGAACACTTGCTTCTTCTCAGCTAGAACGACTTCAGAGGTCTACTGCATGCATCTCGTGATTTCGTGTTGTAAAAGAAAGGGCCCGGATATGAGAAACAGCAGAGCAGCCACTTAATTTGGGTTCATTCGCCCCTTTGCTGCCATCCGCTCCACAAGCTTTGCATAAAAAGGTATTAGGTATGGTTACATGACCCCTCTGTCCAAGCAAATTCAAACAGAATGGGATCTCATTCCCGAATAGGCTTCGGGGCTGGTCCTCCCCCCCTTGGCACCTCTGATTTTGTCAGAAATCCTCTGATAATCGAACACACAAATTGATGGTTTTAACTTCGGACAAACCTCCCCACCACCTCCCCACGTGTTCAAAAGTCGCATGCTCACCTGCTCGCTCACCTGTCAGGCTGTGTATCCTCCACTCGTTGCCAAATGGAGATCCTCAGTGTGCGGAAGAAAAACAACATACCTAGCGCTTCCAAGGGGTGCCCAATGGAGACCCGTAAGTAGTGTGGAGATATCCATTGGTGACACCTTTGGAAGCAGCTGGTATTGAGACTTGTGCACATGACATGTAGGAGAAGTTCCAGGCTTTGTAGGTCCAGCGCACGGTCCAGTGCACACGATGTAGGGATGCGTGGGGACAACACTATGCTCGACGCCTCTCCCATTTTTTCACTCTTACTCTTACTCTTGCTCAGCTTCAGCTTCAGCTTCAGCTTCTTCTTCTTCTTCTTCTTCTTCTTCTTCTTCTTCTTCGTCTTCGTCTCCGTCTCCGTCTCCGTCTCCGTCTTCCTGCCTCTCCTTTTTCTTTTACTTCCTGTTTTCTTCCTGACCTTCTCCTTTCGCTTCGTTCCAAACATCCCCTTCGTTCCGCTCGCCGACCAACCAATACCTCGCCCAGAAGCTGCCACTTGGTCGTGCGCCAAGCCAAACAGGTCGGCGGCAAAGAGCTGGTGAACGCCTCAACGATCAGGTGGATGAAAGGGATGAAAAGGAGCTTAAACAAAGAATCCTCGAAGTCTATAGCACCTCTGGGTTCAAAGAGCTGGTCTTCTGAACATTCTCTCCACCCCCTCCCGCAGATTTGCACCGATTTGGGCGGGAAGACTCATCCCATTTTATTCTTGGTTCACCACACCTTGCTGATCGAGTTCTTGTGAAAGACCCAGTCCTCACGTCCTCACCACCGTCCTTCTACCCCTCTGGAGTTTCTCCCAATCCCAGAGCCGCATGCGCTCCGGTCTTGACCGGCTTACCCCGGTCCCCACTCACCTTCGAAGCGGTCTCATCGTAGCCCACTTCCTGCAAGACGTAGTTCCCGCACCACAACCTCGCGGTCGTTCCGTGGCCGTTCGGGCGGTCGAACCGACGGGGTGGCCGTGCGGCCGAGTTCGGAGGGGCGGTCTTCGGAGGTCGGCGGAGGAGGTGTTTGAAGGAGCGAACTGAAAAGAACGTGGGAGATGGGAGATCCAGAGATGTCTCCTTCGCCCTCGGGACCCCCAAAAAATAGACTTCAACAGCCGAGGCAAGATCTTGAGGCAGCCGAGCCTGCTGAGCCTCGAAATCTATGTGGATGATGATCTTTTCACCACTTCCATGGTCTGAAACTCCACCCCCAATGGGTTCCCAACCCCAGCCCCACGGGTTCCCATAATGGATGGAGAGCCTGCCCCAGCGGTCGTTGGAGAGCTGTAGCTGCTTGGCACCATGTGGGCCATGCAAATGGACTTGTCCTTGGATGACGTCTGCGAGAGATAGAGTGCTGGATGATGGGCAGGAAGGGTCGGGGTACGAGTTCAGGTCAAAGAGAGCTGGAACTTGTAGACATCGGTGAAAGTTCCAAAAGATCACACTTGATCAAACCAGTCAAACCTATAGTCGGCCCCCAATGTTCCAAAGATGGGAATGAATTTCTCTGTTTAGCTTTACTCATTCTTTTGGACGCGAGTCCCAATCACCGTCACGCCGAGCTGCTGTTTGACGCATGCTGGATCCGGTGAAAGTTCCCTTTCGAGTAGAAGATCCCTAGGCTTCCAAGACCATTTAAACAATGGTTGACCTTGCGTCGTGGTGTAAAATCCTCTAGTTGTCAACAATGGTTGTTCGGTAATTAAAGGCTATTGAATTAACGGTGGTTGGAAGCCCAGGGATATGGTAGAATGCATTCCATTGCCCCAGCAAGACAATCTCAGACTAGAAAGGTCCTACGTGGCTGTGTCAGGTAGGCCCCAACCAATGCCCCATAGATGGTCGCTTTTGGCCTTCCCGTTTGCCTCGAACTGGAGTCAAAGGAGAATGCGTGTTTCGAGCCATTGCCGTGGCCCGTCCACCACGCGCCCGTCCGTCCAAGTCGGTCTCCACCGCCGCTGCCGTCCGAGCAACTTGCAAGAAGATCAACGGTCAGGAAGTTGTCCATACCTCACGCCGTCCAGCCATATACCGGAGACATTGGGAGACCATTTTTGGTTGGTGGTCTCTCACTGTTGGCCAAAGAAAACCCGGGACGTTTGACCAGGAAGAATCCTGAATGTTGACATGCTATTGTTCAACAAAAAATACTAGATCATTGTTCCACATATATGTTTAATTATCCAGGTTTGGTGGTTCGCGTCCCACCCTCCTGGGTCATAGGGCTCCCAAAACGCTCCGCCGGTCCGCGGTCCACCGACTTCCGAAGAGGGATGGATGCGAAGCATTCGATCGACCACCATCGATGCGTCTGCCACAACGAAGAAAACGAAGGACCCACCGTTGCACGAGAACGCACCCACCGTTGCACGAGGTCTCCTCCTTCGAAGCTTGGGCTTGAAAAATGGTCTCAAATGGTCTCAATTGGTGACCTGGCAGTGAGGGGTGCTGGCAGTAGAATTAGACAGCAGGCCAAGAGACTGTCTACCCAGAGCCCTGAAAGCAAAGACCTTGGTGCCGTGGAGACTGCGAAAGCCAGCTGTGAAGTTCCAGGAGAATCAATTGGACCGTTGGAACATGGAACTGATTCTGCCGATCTCAGAAGCTCATGGGCCACATGGGATGTACAAGACCATCTGTTTAGTGAGCAAACAAGAATCAAAAAGAGCTGCGGGGTCTACCCCCACCCCAGCTACATGTATGTGGATGTACGGGGTGGATACAGCTAAATGTCATCCACAAAAGAGGGCCATGGCCAAACTCGATGAACCACCACTTGCACCATCGAACGGTCAATGGTGGTGAGGCTTCCATGTCCCAGACCTAAAACAAAGCTGTTTGAGTAAGTTTGAGATATTATGAGTACACTGGTTTCAGAGTGGATGGCACTGGCACCCAAACATGTCCGTTCATATTGGGGTCCGGATATAAACCACCAAGCTTGGGGTAACTTGTGCCATCTACTCTGATGGCCCACTGGTTTCATGGGCACATCGCAGATGGGAAAAGTCGAGAGTCGAGAGTGCCAAGTCGTGACCAGTCGGGTCAATCCCTTTCCTCTCAGGCCTCGTCTCGGACCAATGCTGCAAGGCTAGAGCTAAGCCGCAACCACATGACATACCTCTCACTGAAACCGACGATACACTCAGTACATCCAGGCTGTAGCAACCACCCACCGGCACCACCCACCAGTCGACAGGGCCGGATCTCAATGAAACCGCCCTTCTTCACCACGCGAAGGGAGTGAGAAAGGACTGGGTGACCAATCCTTGGTGTTCAAATCACTTTTTCATGGCAAGATTTTTCACAAGGACCATCCGTGTCACTCGTGTCACTATGAAAAACCTGGATGATTTGCGACTTGTTCACACCTGAAAAAACTCCTCCAAAGCGGTCCAGTCTGCACCTCAGTCCACCAAAACCGTCCTGACCCCCGTCCGCCACGGCACAAAGGTGGCACCGGTACCGCCGGGCGCGTGAGGCGCGACACCGCCGACCTCGGCGGGGGGACTTAAAGAGGTCTTTTCAAGTGGGTTCTTGAAAGAAAACCGAAAACATCTTCAAAGATAGACATGTTTTAAAACATGCTTTAAACATCTTCAGTTGACTTGTTTCTTTTGAATGTTGGGGTTCTGAACATACTTTAAAGATAGACATGTTGAATGGTTTGGAAGCGTGAGCTCTCACGAACCTGAGAAGGCGAAAGATAGCTGCTCGCTGAGGACATATATTCTTGCGGTACATTGTGGATCCATGTTAAAGAAACGGATGTTGTTCCGGTGCCGACCGAGCGTTGGGTTCCGCGTGTGAACTCGCTTGTCACTCATCCCGAGTCATCGCGAATCAAAGAACCCTTGGCCTCCGGAAAAATGGAGTCAATCGGCTTTGGGAGTTGAAGTTGGTCGATGTATGTCGATGTGATGATTTGTGTTGCCATTAGTGTTTGGTGTTGATTGTATTGGTGTGTGTGTGGTTTCCCTCTGTTTAACAGCACACATATAAATTGATTGATTGCTGTTTGAGTAATGCTAAGTAAGAGGGATTGCTCATTGTGAGACAAGAGGCAAACTCTGGCTCAGGCATGTATCTGGAATCAATCTACCGCTTAAAGCACGTCTCTGAGTGCATGTAGGAAAATGCCCAGTGCTGTCCAACAGCAGATAGTCTGAACATTAAAAAAGGACGACAACAACAACAACACCAGCAGCAGCAGCAGCAGCAGCAACAGCAACCACAACCACAACAACCACCCACCAACCACCAACCCACCACCAACCAACCCAAACCCAAACCAAAACAAACCAACAAACAAGAAAAAAAAGGAGTCCTCAGGATCTGCCCCGTCCATGGTCCCGAGGATCTGCTTCGGGCAATGTCTCGGGGGGCCCGGGCAGAAGTTGCGGCGTCCGCGACGGGGACTCGCGGTGCGGTCGAGACCCCACAGACGACCTGGGGCATGGGAAAGGGGGGATAAGAAGGTCCAATGAAAAAGGTCCAATTGATTCTCCTGGAACTTCACAGCTTTCGCAGTCTCCACGGCACCAAGGTCTTTGCTTTCAGGGCTTTGGGTAGACAGTCCCTTGGCCTGCTGTCTGTTTCTTTCGCTGGCGGCATCCTTATTGAGACTGTTAAGGCCCAGCAAACCCTCCAACAACGAGACCTGGTGGAACGAGGGTGCTGGCATGAAGCGTCATCCATATTCAATATAACATCCAAGCAGCATCTCATTCTCGAACATCCTTTGCAGAAAAGAACACCCTTACACCCTTTCTCGCATCCGGAAATCCACCACCACAGCCTTCCCAAGAGTTTCCGTCTTTCCAACATCTTCCACACCACGTAAGCCTTCCACGCGCATCGGATTGTGCATGCATCGCCCGCGTACGCCCTCCGCCTCTCTTCTCTCCGAAGCTCCGTCGCCTGGGACGCCTGGAATGGTGGAGTGGAATTCGGGATGCCACCGGGGCGCCAAGGAAGGAACGGTAGAAGCGGTAGAAGCTGCAGGTGTTCTTCTTCACCATCCTTTTTTCACCGGTCATTTGAATCTGTTGAAGTGAAAAAAAAACGGGGTTTCCATTTTGAGCTCATTGACTTCACCTTAAGAGGTTCTGTTCCCTTCGAGGAAGAGGCTCATCACCCTTCGATCACCGAGAATATCGTACCCCGGGTATGTTGGAGCGCCGTCTAACCTGTTCTGAGAGGAAGTACGAACTCCTCAAAGACCATTCTCACAAACAAGCTGATATGATCCCACAAGCACCACCTGACCACAGCCCCAAGCAGATTCTGCTTCACCCTGCTCTTCCTTCTGTCAAAGGTCCAAGAAATCCCCCCCACATCGGGCTCAGTCGACTTCCGTCGTCGCCCGTTCCTTCTCACCCGGCACCCGTCAAGGATGACATTATTTTGGGAAATACCTCGTATTTTCTGCAGCTTTTTCTTTCTGGAGGGGTTTTAATCATATGGTGTAGCAGGAGTATCTGGTTGCTGTGGCTTGGCTTTGGCGAGACGTTTCAGGTGGTAAACATTTCCAGAGATTTGATCACATAGTGCCGAGAGCTATTTGAGCGTTGTTCAAAGCCTTGTAATGGGCTCTTCTTTTGCAAGTTCCTTTTGCAAGCGCATGAACAGTTTGCGAAATCTTGCTTGGAAAGTTTTGACCGCTCATTTGCAAGTGTCATGTCGGCAAGAAATGCTTGGTTTTGGGGTTTGGGCCTGGCTTGGTTTGGGCAAGCTGGACGGGGCTCGTTTTTTCCATGCGGGGCTGGGCTCCGGCGCCTCCTGCGAGCGCCGTTCCTCAAGCCATTCCTGTTGGAGGGCCCAGGCGCTTTCACCTCGGTTCGACCCAGAACCGGTTTCGGCCATCGAGACGAGTGTCGAGGTTTCGGCCTACTATGGAACGTTCCGCGACGTTTCCCGTGGAGGGCATGTTCCGAACTCGGAAAACATGGAGGGAAACGAGAATGAAGCCATGGAAAGAACCCCCAAGCAGCATTGCGTGACACCGCGGGGTGAAGGGTGGGTTTCACTGGCTATACGGGTTGGTGTCTATCCTTCGCGACGAAGAAGTGCGGTTCGCCGAGTCTGTCCGATGCTCTGCCGAGAAACGGGCACGGTCCTGTTGGGGTGGCTGTTTCATCACGAGCTGAGCTTACCAAGCTTTGCAAGGTCTTTAAGCTGGCGCCAAGTCTTACCCAGGCGCCCCAGCAATAAACCAACAAGCTCTTTGGGATTCAGCAACTGCAAGGAAACCAAGAAGAACCGACACAGATTTGATCAACTGCAGAATGCTTGAACCCTTCTGGCAGACCGCACTTCTAACATGCCAACTGGCCTTTCTTTCCGCATGGCTATTTGTGAAGTGCAGTGCGTCAGTTTGCTGTTAAACCAAGCCAATGACCATCCAAACCAGCATCTTTTTACCATGGTTCTTCAAACGAACTCCCCTGTGGATTCCCCATGAATTCCGATCTTTCGATCGTGCACACCCCTCGGACGGTCCTCACGTCGATCACCGGGCCAAGTCGCTGTCCTCCTCACCGTCGCTGTCGCTGAGCAGCTCGAGGAGCGCCGCGGCGCTGATCCTTCGAGTGGAAGACGAAGAAGGGTCAGAAGACACTGTCAATGATCATGGTCCATCATGGTCATGACAACAAAGTGTTGTTACAAACTCATCCACCGTTCACCTGTTAGATGATTAGTGTCAATTGACGTGATAGTGATACCGTTAACTGTTACAAGATGTTACAAGTGACATGGTTGTTGTCCCAAAGTCTCGATCGATGGTTGTGGCTCTCTTTGCAAGACAATGACCAGGACGGAGAACATCCACATGAACATCCAAAAATCGAAAGACAAGTGTACGTGGCTTTGTCTTCCGATTGAATCAGGAATGGGGAACACCGTTCATTTCCATTTTATGATGTGGCCGTGAGAAGAACTGATTTAGATGCCTTCAAGTATTTTCTTTGGCATGTCTGCTTTCTGTAACCTCAAAGGCTCCTCAAAAGCAGGGAAGACCCGCGAAATATCCTTGCCTGAAATGAATCCTATCAGTCACTATAAACGAGTACTTTTTCCCGAATGCGTAGCGAAGGGTTCCCGTTTATAGTTGGGGGTCTGGGGGTTGGAGCTGTGTTTGCATGGTTTGCGTCGTGTCGTCGTCTGTCGTCGTCTCTCGTCGTCTCTCGTCGTTTGTCGTCGTCGTCGCGTCTCAAATTTGCTGCCATTGGGGGAAGCTTTTGCAAGTGACTTTGCATGGATGCGTCATATGTTAGTTTGCGCCGCTATTCCATTGTGATTTGCATGACAATGACATGTCGCGCAAGAAACGTGATGCATTCTGCTGCACAGGCGCAGCGTTTTGTGAGATCCGCAGTTTGCTGCGCAGCTCCATTGGGATTAGCGTTTGGGGAGTCGTGTTTTTGGGGTGTTGGATGTGGCCGTGCCATTGGGATTTGCGTTGCAGGGTGTGGCAGCGAAGCTCGGTTTTCGTGACAAGTCTCAGCTGAAATGGTGATTTTGGTGGATGGGAGTGTGCTCAGAACGGGTCGAAATCATTCCAAACGTGTGGTGTGGTGCAAATTTTGTTGAAGCTCACGTGAGATGATATTGTCACTTTTCGTGGCAGGCGCAGGACTTTGTGCGGGCTTTGAGGTGTGGAAGTGCGATTTTCGTAGCAGGGGCAGGGAATCGTGAGGTTGCGAGGTGTGACGGAGGTGACATTTCGTGGCAGGCGCAGTACTTTGTGCGCGTTAAACGTGTGGACGCGGAAAGATTCGTGGCAGGCGCAGGGAATCGTGAGGTTGTGAGTTGTGGTAGAGGTGAATGTCGCAGTCACATTGGGATTGGCGTGTGAGCGTATGTTGTTTGGAGGGGCTGGAATCGCGAAACTGCTTGGCAGGGCTGCGTGATGTGTGTGCTCCGATGGGTGTTTCCTCGTACGAAACGCTCGTTTTGCAGACTTTGATGTGTGAGTTTTTGAGGAAGTCTCGTACGAAACGCTCGTTTTGGAGACTTGACGCGCAACCGTCTGCGGAGATCGTGCGTGTCGAGTGTGCGAAATGCAGGCGAGAGTGCGATTTGTCCCATGCGCGCGCAACCCTCTGCGGAGATCGTGCGTGTCGAGTGCGGGAAATGCAGGCGAGAGCGCGATTTGTCCCATGCGCGCGCAACCCTCTGCGGAGATCGTGCGTGTCGAGCGCGCGAAATGCAGGCAAGAGTGCGATTTGTCCGGTGCCCGCGCAACCCTCTGCGGAGATCGTGCGTGTCGAGCGCGCGAAATGCAGGCGAGCACTGGCGACTTTGTGGTACAACTTCAGTACGCGGAGTATCTGGGGAGCTGGAAGATGAGAACTGGTGACTTGGTAGTACAACTTTAGTACCCGGAGCAATCTGTGGAGCTGGAAGCTGAGAACTGGCGACTTTGCAGTACAACTTCAGTACGCGGAGCAAACTGTGGAGCTGGAAGCTGAGGACTGGCGACCTTGTAGTACAACTTTAGTACGCGGAGTATCTGGGGAGCTGGAAGAGTGTCTCACAAGAGTGTCCCACAAGAGTGTCCCGCAACAGTGTCCCACTAGAGTGTCTCACAAGAGTGTCCCTTAAGAGTGTCCTACAGGAGTATCCCACAAGAGTGTCCTACAAGAGTGTCCCACAAGAGTGTCCCACAAGAGTGTCCTACAAGACTGTCCCACAAGAGTGTCCTACAAGAGTGTCCCACAAGAGTGTCCGACAAGAGTGTCCCACAGAGTGTCCCTCTGTCGTACAAGAGTGTCCCACAAGAGTGTCCTACAAGAGTGACCCACAAGAGTGTCCTACAAGAGTGTCCTACAAGAGTGTCCCACAAGAGTGTCCCACAAGAGTGTCCTATAAGAGTGTCCTACAAGAGTGTCCCGCAAGAGTGTCCTACAAGAGTGT